CAAGATTTTATTACTTTTGTAGGGGCTGAATTTTTAAGAGGATGCTGTAAAGTAAAATTGCTTGATTTCATTTACCCAGACTTTTGGGAAACATTTGTTTGCACCTAGAAATAGTTTCTGGGAACCAAATGGATCAAAATTTTCAGTGGGACTTCACTGGCATGGCTGAAATGCATTTAAAAGTTGAAGGACACCAAACCAGTAATTTTTATTCCTATAATGATAAAACCATTCCACTGCTCAGAGTATGATGACATCTGAAGATTGTGTTTTTTCTATTCTTCTTGCTGAAGGATGTTAAGGCAAGGGAAATTTTAAGATGAAAAACAGTTTTAGGTGAGAAACAGAAAAATTTCACAGCTTGTGACTGACAGACAAGAGCTTTTAGGAACATACTGCTTGTTAACTTAGTAGTTTCTTTATGCAGATTTCATTAATACAAATTATTTCTTGTCCTTACAGAAACAAAAACTAATTAGCTTTTCTTACATAGCCAGTGTGCAAGCCCTCTGTAAGTGCAGGTTAGAATTAAGGTGAAACAATTACTTGTAAAATGATCAGTCTAACTGATGTCAAAAATTATTACTAATGGGTAAATTAGCTGCTAATGCTTCACATAAAGGTGTTTTGAAATTTCTATTAAGTAATTTTCTGTTAAGTACTATGTATATGTATAGTAGTTTTTTAATATATTAACTGCTGGAGGGATTGTGAAAATAATAATGAATCATGAAATTTGTAATGCATCAATACAGTATCAGACTGTGATTAAGTACAACATTTGCCTGTTTGTTCATTTTTACCTGGACAGGAGTCTTCACCACCTTCACCATCATTAAATATGAACCAGTCTATGGCCTTTTTATTTAGAATACATGGCATTCATTGTCTCCTAAGTCTGTAGACTACAGTGAGTGTTGCAAAATGGAAAATGGGGTAAATAAAGGTGTTGGATTGGTTTGGTTTGGGTTGGTTTGGGTTGGTTTGATTAGTGGACTTTTTTCTTTCTTGGCTGGATTTTTGGGGTTTTTTTGTGGTTGTTTTTAATTCTTTTTATTTGGATTTTTACTGCATGAGAAATTTCTGAGTGTGTAATTTGACATGGGAAGAATCACTACAGAATTTTTTACCCGGAGTGAGTCCATTTGCATACTCCCTGAAACTTTTTGCTGCTAGACCAGTAAGACTATGCTAAGGGAAAATGGTATGTGTGATTGTATGTGTGCCAGACCACATTGTTTGTTGTTGATCTGCTGTCAACCTACATTTCTGAGTCTGAGGTGAAAACATTTCATGGGAACAGTTGTGATTGTCATCTTCCAACTTTTATTGGTACAAAATGAGTCTTTATAACTGAAAAAGTTACTGTAACTTTTAAAGAACCTCCTCAAATATGTCTGAATGCATTAGCAAATGAGATATTTGAAATAAGTACTTGCATTTTTAGTTTTTTCTGATGTCTTTATTTACCCTTGCTATATATGCTTACAAAGGCTACAATATGATGTGCTTTTTGGCAATTTTTGTTCTGACATAGTAAAATTTTTGATATTTCAGGCATATGATGAAGCTCAGTCCTAAATTGAATTATTTTATACTAGGAACTTTCATGCACCCCAAAGAGAGAATCTGGAAACAAATGTATGAGGATCTGCATCCTCTATGTATCTTTTCCATAGTAAGTTCACATGCTGAGCTAGCTGTAGTTGGACTGCAGGAATCCTTTTAGCTTTCACTTTAAAGAAGGGGAAGTCTTATCCTGATATTCACCTTTTCATAGAGGAGTATGTTCATAAAAATGTCTCTACACAAGAATAGTTTGCAGTAGCTATGTCAAAAAGGGGGCTGAACTTCAAAAGTATTTTGTCAGACATTTTATTTGAGTGCCGACGAACAATATTACATATCCTTAAAGCACAGCACAGAGAACAATACAGCAATTTTAAAATTGATTATTCTATAACATGATGAAATGTGAATTAATTAATTCAATTCAGTATTTCAGAATTCTACTTAAACTTTAGAAAGTCAATGTAGAGGTGCAGAAGGGAAGAAAAAAATGTCTTATGCTCATGCCAAGATATTCAAATGTTCCAATCAAAATGAGTTATTTTAGTGTAACTTTAAAAATATATTTTATAGAGCCATAATGTGCAAAAAAACTCCATTTCTATCTGGATAGTGGTAAACCATCTCTGATTTCAGAGGTTCTTGTGGCCCTTGAGGGGACAGCTTGACTGTTCATTGAAGCAGCAGCCTAATTTCTGTGGGGTTAAACTCTGTAAACAGATAAATGCAAGCTCAGTGTACTTAACGTGAGCTAGCAATAAATTCAATTTTCCGTTGTATATTAAGAGTGTAATTTGCAGTAGTTTTGTAGTTGTCTCTTCAGCTTCTCAGGAGTCCCAGCAAGAAGCGCGTACCAAGTAGGAGATGGTGGGAGCCCTCAGCTCTCAAATGCCAAAGCTTGTGGTACTCTTCAGAAGTCCAAGTTACGGGTATCTCCCACTCTGATTTTTCTTTTTAGCTTGAAAAGGTATCAAAATTCACTATTAGTATCAATATCTGAGTAGGTACAGGTATATAAGCAAGCAAAACTTGGCTTGTTCTTGCATTTAAAAGGTAATACTGCAGTAATTTTTATGATTCACTTAAGAAAATTTAAGTACAGAAATATGAGATGCTGATTTTAAGTGAATTTCACTTATTTTATTTTAATTACAGTTGTGTTATTTTAACTGCATTTATTGATGTTACCAAGGAGAGTTCCAAAAGTGCTGAAAGACTGGTATCATAGATGGTAACATATTACATCTTATTTTTTTGGCAGATTTAATTGCAGTGGAAGGTTTCCATATAGATTGTTGCTGTGCTTAATGAACTGTGTTGTGGAGAGTTTTTCTTGAACTATGCACTGCTGTTGTTAAGGGAGATCGAAAATAGTTGTCAGTTCTCAATCAAAATTGCCCTCATGTTAATAAGCACAACTGTGTGTGCAGTTTAATTGTGTTTGCTGTCAGAGTGCCTAGCAGCTTAGGTCACAATCAATGTCAAGAAACTGACAACATTAATTGTAGAGATAATTTGTGTCAAACCTTAATTAACAACTTTTATAAAGATAAAGGCAACAAATACCACTTTTCATTTTGGCTTCTGCTGGGTTATGATTTCACATACCCTTAGACTGACGGTACTTGCGTTATATGTAACAAGATACACATTTTGATAGAGTAATAAAAAGAGGGATTACATAGTACTTACCTCTCCCTATGGCAGATAATTTTATAAATTAATTTATGTTCTAAGAATAATTTATCTTCTCTGATATCGTATGATACTTGAAAAATAACTGACTTACTTCCACTATTATGTATTGGAGGAGAGTTGTGGCAATGTGTTGTTATAGAAATGTCTTACTTATGTAAAAAGAAGTTTGACCAGACAGATGCATACCTTATTTTTTTTGGCTAGGTTATGGTCTAAGTGAAAAACAAAGATCAACCCAATTTCATTCTATTCTGGCCTATGAAGCTTTTTTATTGATGTAGATAATATTACTCACATCATACAAGAAAGTGGATTTTATATACAGCCTTAAAACCTTGTTTTCCTTGAGAAGAGTCCACAAATTGAAAATTGCATCATTATGTACAACTGCCCTTGTTTCCTGTGTGTAATGTAATAAACAAAAGCTTTACTAATTGCTGGTTAGCAAAAATTCACGCAGGATGGCAAAAATACTGTTGTTCAGGTAGCTAGAGCTATTAAGTATTCAGTCATATTTCTGCAACTCCATGAGGTAGGTAATAATGCTCTGCAGAAGCCAGTATTCAGTTTTTGTAAGGAGTCGTAGCAGTCCTGTAGTCCTTCACCAGATTTTGGACAGTTCTATATAAGAAATTGCTGGAAAACTGGTTGTACACCTTAGAGCAGTTAAGTTTGGTGAAAGATTTTTAATTTAATTTATTGCTATGTGTGCTATTTGCTGCCTATGAGGTACTATACAGAGTTACTGTGTGCTCTTGGACTTTGTCATGAAGTGTTTCTCCTTCGGTGCTTTGAGTTCTAACAGTGAATTCACAAAATGTAAAAAAAAAATTAAAGATGAATGGCAACATGTCATTTTTCACTTGGTGGCCCACGACTACAACTTGTGCCACAGAATGTCAGTATATAGATTCAGTTGAGTCTCTTTACATATCACAGTGCTGAGTTAAAACAAAAAGGGTTCAGAGAGAGCAGTTTTGTTGAAACCCAGATGTTCTTCATCAGCATATATTTTTGCCTTTTTTGTGGTCCAGGCAAAAGGCCTGTGGCTTGGGAAATGACCTCAAGTATTTTAACTTGAAGTGTACTTTATTTGCTAAGGTTTTGGCAATTTTTGACATCAGAGAGGTTCTTTCATAATTTTCCCATGGCAGTAGTAGTACACTGTTTTGCTAGAATGTGCTCTTGCATTTTGGTTTTGGTACATTTTTGCCAGGAAAATTAGCAAAGCATAAATCTCTCTTCTGATACAGTCCTTTTTGCCTGGACTCTTAATACATAATAATTTACCTCTACCATGCAAAATTACAAATGCTTTCTCCTAAATGTCCTTGATTTTAATGTCTCAAAGCTGAGCTTCCTGTTTTCATGACACCCTTTGTTCACAGCATCAAGTAGCTAATCGTGATATTATTCCAGTTGATTGATGAGCTCATTTTGCAACAGAAGTCAAATTGGATTTTTTATTTATAATGGTGATAAAATATAATGTGTGATCTCGCTATTCCAATGCCATCAAATTTCTGTTTTAATACAAATTTCACTAGTAAAATCTGTAAGTACTTTATTGACCTTTTAGGTTTTTTAAAGTAGTGCTTTCTCATGCAGGTGAATGTTATCACTGGGGAAACAAAGCATTTCCTTTTTTTAAATTTTGAAGACTAGATACAACTTTTTTAAATTTTGTGTTTACTGCTTGTATTAATACAGTTAATTTTTTTTTGTTGTTTCAGCACCACCAAAGTTTACAAGAACTCCCGTTGACCAGACAGGAGTTTCAGGAGGAGTTGCCTCATTCATCTGTCAAGCCACAGGAGATCCAAGACCTAAAATTGTCTGGAACAAAAAAGGAAAGAAAGTCAGCAATCAGAGATTTGAGGTATTAGGTCCATTGTTCTGTTCCTCTGAAAAACATTTTAATTCCAACTTTGTTTTTAATCCCACTTTTTGTGCTTTATTAACGGTGATTTAGCAGAATAGAAATGACTATCAGGGATAATTTGGTGGGAATACTCTAATGAAGTTTTTAATTTTGAAAACTGATTGTGCTGCGTAGACCCATTAAAGAGAAAACTGCTACTGCTGTTTTGTAAGCTAGCATGGTTGGACTGAGGAGCTCTGTGGTGCCTCTGTTCAGTTTGCTGTTCATGGAGAGCTCATGAAGAACTTGAGTTGAGCAGTGACTGCTGCCTCCAAAGAGCAAACCATCTCCTTTTCTGACAAGGTGCATCAAGCAGGCTTAGTCTTTGGCTGCTTCTGCTGCCACAATTCCTTACCCCTTCTGATGAAAGAAATGAAAGGGGCACTGTAGTTCCTGCTGCTGAAGAGGAAAAATAAAACTTGCTTGCTTTTGATTTTTTTCTTAACAATAAATTAGGAAAAGGCTTGGAGAAAGATTTTTCTCTCCACAATCTTCAGTTAAAGGAAACAGTGAAAATAATCTGCTCAAATGATTCTGATTTTTTGAGGGAAATAAGAAAATAAGTATTATTCCCTCTTGGAGTGGCAATAATAATTAATGTCAATATGGATTCACCTTTAACATGAAGTAAAAACTCAGAAAATGGGGGAAAGCTTTTAGAAGAAATATCAAAACTGGCACTAAGAGTGTGCAATTGTCTCTTAATTGTTTTCAGTGTTAGAAATGAGACTTCTTTTTCCTTGAAAACAACTGTTCAGAGATTAAAGATTTGTATATAAAATGTATGTGACATGCATTTTATGAGAAAATTATCTAACATATAGTTATTAACAACCGACTGAATATTAAAGTCCTCTATATTAATTTTTATTAGTATTTGTGAAGATTGTTTTTCCTGGCTTTCAGGTCAGATTCTTTTAGAAGAACTGCATTTTGTCTATAAACCAAATTTATTTTCTTGATTTTTGGTTCAATAAATATCTAAAGCCATTGGAATTCGTTCATTAACCATTATAATTTCTGGCTTGTGTATTTACTACAACATGAAAAACAAAATAATTCATTTAAATGTTACCTCCTAGTGCCAAAATTGTTTGCACTTTGCAGAGCATATGCAGAGCTGTAATTGGCTAGAGGGATTAACATAGAAGGTTTGTCATTAATTTTACACAATTTATCCTCTTTGTTCACAGAACTTTCACTCAAAGTGAATTCTAAACAGAGAATGATGGTGCATGTATATGTTTACTGTGTGTTATTCTGCATTATGTCATAGTATATCTCCTTAATACATTGCTTTCTTGGGATCTCTGTACCTGTTTTTAGAGAGAATAGACAAACATAAAGTAGTTTTATTTCCATAAAAATTATTTGCATGTAACTATAAAAAACAGCTTAAAATGTTTTAAAAATGCCTCTAGTGGACGGTTGAACAAACAGGAAAGCCAAGTAAGATGGAGTGTATTTTGAACAAATAGATGACATTTGCCAAGTGTTTTTATAATTTTTATCATGTCCGCTGAGCAGAGCAGTTACAAAGTGTGCATACCAAATCATTACTTTAAACAGCTTTTCTTTCTGTTTGAAGTAAGCCTGTTAATTCATGCCATAGAATCTGTAAATAAGAAAAGAACACCAGTAGAAATGAGATTCGAAAAATACATATAAAACATTTGGGAAGCAAGAAATATCCTGAGATTTTCAGCTGGACCAGTAAGAGAATATTTAGTTTGGTTTCTTTCACGTTAATATTTTGTATATTTCTCTCAGTTACTTAATGATGACACACACATCAAAATGTTTTAGCTGAACACCTGTCTTCATCAAGTAGATACAGCTGGAAACGATTCTAGTTGTCCATCTTATGCACATGCTTTCCCAAGCATGCTGGAGGTTACTTTGTTATAATTCAATAAACTTGGACAGTCCCCTATAGGGTTTATGAAACTTGTCATGGTTACCTGTGCCCCACATGAAACCAGAACTCTTGCTGGAACTTGATGTATGTAGCAATTGGGGAACAAGTAGTTTATTTCCTCTCTCAACTGTTTATATATTTGAAGACTACTGTCATTGAAACTTCTTGCTCACCAGCTAATTCTCCCAACTTATTGACAATAGCAGTGAAAGCTAGGCATTGCTTCTGAAATTAAAATACACAGTAAGACCTCGAGGGTCTTCTTTATTAATCTTTCAGCTTTTATTTATGTTACAGATATAGACTCTGAATGGGGATCCTTTTTTTTTCCTCTTCCTGAAAATTAATTCGAATAATAGGAATTATAGAAATCTGCTTTAATTTGCTGAGAAGTCCTTTTCAGAGGAACTTAAGAAAAAACAGAAAAGGGAAAAATAAAAGTTGAAAATTGCATCACTCCACCTTGTGTGCAAAAATGCTTTTATTAAAAAATGTCTGTCATAAAAAAAATAAAATCTCATCCAGTAGATGGGGAAGAGTTAGGAATTAACTAGCTGTGTTTTTCAGGAAAGGGGAGGACTCATTGAATGAAAAAATAAATCACTTTTATGATAGATATTTTTGAGACGCCAGACTTGAAACTTAATCTCTGCAGTATTTACTGAATCCAATCTTCTGCAATTGTTTTCAGTGTCTGTCCAGATACATTTATTCAGCATTCAGGTTTAAACAATAGCAATTACTCTATTTTAAGTGTGTCTGTGAGTATTCAGATCCTATGCTTGCATTTTGTATCTATAAATTGATAGTCTGACTGCTTAAAGACTTGGAAATTTTTTTTCCCTTATAAATGTCAATTTATTGAGAATTCTAGTTATTCCTTTAATTGTGCTAACATCAGGTGGATATTTTGTGTTATCTAGATTAGTTTAAGATGGCTTTACTGGAAGAACAAGAAAAATGCATCCCGTGGGCTATTAAAAAAATTAACTATCAAAAAACCCCCAGGGTTCTTATCTTATCTTATCTTCTTGCACCTCTCCCAATGCTAAGTAGAAACTGAGCGATTCCAACAATGAAAATAGCGAGATGCAGGGCATATTTACCATCATTTCTGACCCCAGACTTTATAGCTCTGTTTTATCAACATGTACAGGGATCTCGTAGGTTGTTTGTGTGAAAATGAGACAGAAGGACACAAAGAGATGTGCAAATAGACATATCTGTAAATCACTTTGTGCCTGTATATATAGATTATTTTGTAGAGAAAAACAAGACAAAAAAATCTGACTGTCCTTTGTTTATAAGTACCATTTATCTGATGGTAGTACTGATATTTCTCAGCAATTTTTTAAATTTATTTTTAAAAAAGTAGATTAAAGAGATTACTTCTATTACTTAACTATTAAGAAGGTTTTTTCAGGACCAACAGAGTGGTGCAGTACTCACCAATATTTGATGTGATTCTGACTTCAGATCAAAAAGGAAATAAGATCTGCTCAGTGAATTTTCTCATATAAACGTTATTACTTATTGTATGAATATTGCAATGTTAAAACTACATATTAGAATTTTTGCTGTATTATTTAGCCTCCTAAATGATCACTTTGTTAGATAACTTTACTTATTTTGTGGGTTAAATACAAAGCTGAACTAAGTCATCCTGTTTGGTTCAGAAACTGCAGACAGTTATTAACTTTGGAGCCAAATCAGTGAGTGAGCTGCACTCTGTGAGTAGAGAGGGAATATAGCTGGCAGCAATTAAAATGAATGTAACTGTCACTTGAAGGTAAAGTACTTTAGCTGAGAGAATTGAGAAGCATTGGTAGTGAACTTCAGAATAAGAGAGCACTAAGTCACAGGTTTTTTTCCTAGAGCTGTTGTTTGCTGGCTTGGTTTTTTTTGTTTTTTTTTTTTTTCGTTTGTTCATTTGGTTTTTGTCCTGCATTTCTTGAAGCTATATTAAAATGGCCACTGAGTACTCACTGAAAAGCAATGTATGTTCCACTTAAACATTCTCCCATATGACTGGAATTTGTCCTGCAACATAAATTTGAGACACAAACCTGTCTTTGGTCACTTGAATACCAACAGACCAGTGTTCATGAACAGATTAGCTGAGGGATAGGTATTTGTAACAACATCTGTGACAGCTTTTGTTTCCTTTTATAGGTAATAGAGTTTGATGATGGATCTGGATCAGTTCTCAGAATACAGCCACTGCGCACACCCCGAGATGAAGCTATTTATGAGTGTGTGGCTTCCAACAGTGTTGGCGAAATAAGTGTGTCCACGAGACTCACTGTTTTACGCGGTAAGTTCTTTCTAAACATGACCCATTCACTTCATAGAGCTTGAAGAGCTGCATTGTTGTAAAGCAGAGGGTCCTCTCTGGCAGAGGTAAATACAGTTCTTTACAAGTGGACTTCGCTGTAGTCCCAGTGCTGTTCATTATAAACTTTTAAAAAAATACTCAACTGCTGTGTTTGTGACTTTTGACCATAAAATGGTAATGTAAGAATGTATGGTGTGACAGAATAGACTGAAGAAAAGAAGAAATAAATGAAATAGGAGTGCCACACACAACAGACTATCAATTACTACTCAAGCCAATCACTTTATGAATGCACTTGATTCACATTTTAGTGCTGCCCTGGGTACCTTAGCTTTGTTCAATCAGCATTTACACAGAAATTTGCTCTATTAACAGTGACCTTGAAAAGTTGCTTGAGCAGTTTTTAGATGAGGTTAAGCTGCTGCAGAATTTCTCCCACAAGAAGCAGTCATAAAAAAGGTGAAGGCTTCTTCTACTTCAGATTTATGTCATGTGAACTGTATTACTTCAATAAGAAGTTTTTGAAAACAGTATTCAATTTTTTCAACTCCATCAGGGGTGAGGATATTAATGTAGTGCCAAGCCTACTGTCTAGATAATACTCAAGGGAGAAAATACTAGTGGTCAAATGACCTGAACATTTGTTTTGTCATCTGGAAATGAATAGACACTAGATTTGGCGACTCTCTGTGAAATAGCACACTCGTCAGTTTGCAGGGCTGGCTTTATGACTGAAAATTACTGTCTTGTATTTTGATACTACGTGGCATTACAAGGTTTGCAAAATTACTAGGTGTGTGTTTACAGGAATTGAAGGTGATTAAACAGCTTTGCAGAATTTGGAGGAAAATTTGTGGAATGTGTAATTACAATATGTTTTTTCCTTGAGCCTCTATCCCAAGCACTGTAGGGTGACAGGAAGATTTCTTTTTTCGTGTTATTCTCCAAAGTTCAATTTTTACTAGAAAAAAAAATGTTTCTATAATTTTATTAGCTATTTTAATCATTGCAGACAGTTCTGACATTAATGTTGGAGACAGCTAGCAACACTGTCTGCGTATATATCAAAAATTAACCCTAAGGACATACTTTTTTTTCCCTAGGTGAAGTCTGGTGTAAGGAAACCTTTTCAGTATTTAAAATCTTTACCTCTAATACCATGTTTGTTCCTTATATTATCTTTTAAAAATTATTCCCAGTCAAGCCAATGAAAACAGGAATATTGATACATTGATGTTTTAACAGCACCATGGACCTGATCTTAACTCCCTTAGTTAGTTTGCAAAATTAGAAATTTTGCAAACTAAAGGAAGATTGGGAGGATGAGCAAGGAACAACAAAAAACTGTATGAAAACTCAGGTGGAAATAATATTCTTTGTCTTCATAATTCCTTGTAGTGTATTTACAAGCCTACTGGTCATAAAATGTGCATGCATGTGTTTTGAAAGAGAGTGCTCTAAACCAAAGTTCTTATTTGGCTTTTGTAGAGAAGCAGAAGCCCTCATATCTCTCTACCAAGAACCGCAGCAAACGCAAAAGATAGAGGGGGCATCTGAGTGTCAAAACTGACTTGATTGTACAATGTAGTATGTTTCTTTACAAGTCCTATTGATTATTAATCATTTTTTTGGTAACACATGTGTAGCTTTACTGCCTATTTTTTGCTTGGTAGTAAGAACAATAATAGTGGCTCAGTGCTTAATTCTGACAATATTAGTATTGCATCCTCTTTTAAAAGCAATACATAATGATATGCATATGCAAATGACTAATGAAAAAATCTTATTGGTTTGAAGTCAAAATTAAAATAAATTTCAATTTTAATTAATTTTTTAATTAAGACCACTGAAATGTAAAGATTGAGAATTTTATCCATTATCAGAATACATATGGTTTTTGCAACTGCGGAAGTATATTTGCCCCAGGAGTAGATTTATGGATTTAATCTGAAACTGGGAACATACAAGAACTCATGAACATACTGTGACTGTGGATTTAGATAAAGGGGTAATGTCATAGAAAGCAAGGAACCTGCAGAGAAAAAGGGCATTATTAAGAAGTTTGGATAGGGTTAAAATTTGAATTGCTGAAAATACAATGGTTTGCTGTATTGCTTCCCAAGACACAGCATAATTCAGTGCTAAGGGCATTAGCCTGGAAGATAATTCTATTATTGCAAAGCCTCTACTTTGCAAACTTATACAAATCTTAACCTTGTACAGTCTGCAACAGTAGAAAGCTGTTGTTTTGGAAAAATACTCCATTGATGATGCCTTTTTGGGAAAGAGTGCCTCTGCCTCACATGGCTGCTGTAGGAATAAATATGTACTATAGATGTCAACAGGAATTAACTAGATTTAATGAAATACAGGACAGAGTAGAGTGAGTTGGAGCTGTGGTTGCTTATGCTTTACTCATCCCTGTGGTATGTATGCGACTCTGGAGTACATAGATGATATAGCCTGTATAACTTTCATATGTTCTTTTAATTGTTCTGCAATGGTTCTGTCACAGACCCAGCTTGTCATTTGTGCCTCTTGCGAGATGTCACCCAGAGGTGGAAGTCAGATTTTACTCACAATTCAGCCCACAAGTATTTCAATCCTAATATGGAATGTCAGTGAAATCAGGGTAATGCCAGGAGCAGAAGTGTCTACCTACATCCATTTTGTTTGATCATTTCTTTCACAAATCCCAGCTTGAATACTGCAAATAATTTACGCAGCACGGAACAGCAGCATTTTTTCTGATATGTCTGTGTCTTTACAGCTATACTTGCCAGTTTTTCTCTGTGGCCATGTAGAGTAACTTGTTGCATGCATTACAGATGCTACCATGTTTTGTTAGGTTCCTATACTAAGACCAATTCTTATTATTTGGGTCTCAAAGAACTACGAACATAAATAAATTTTTAGCCTCTAGATCTTAGAAATTTACGGTGTGAGAAGGAAGAAGGGCAGAAAAGACATCTACAGATGAGAACATTTCAATGGCTTACCAGAGACAAAATATTGGATCCTTTTCTCTGTTGCTAGAGTAAATCAGGAAACATTCCAGGCTAAACTTGCACTTGTTAGGCTGAATATTGCGAGAGTTTGGACCAAGTATGAATGTCTGAGATAGCTGGAAACTGCTTTTGATTTTCTGTATATAAAGAAGTTGGCTGTTTTCCATGACAGATTCACCCGTATGAAAACGTTGAATTTGAAGGGAAACATGGCTTGAAAAGAGAAGTCTGAAAGTTGACTGTTGGAGACAGGCTGACAAGAGGAGTCAATACAATTTATTTTGGAGGTTTCTGTTTTGAATGTTTGCGCTGAGAACCATAAGAATGGAACAGTGCTTTGATTCTTTTATTTTTTGGTGCTTAATACACATGCCTTTCTACTCAAGAATGTCAGTGTCCTGGGGAGCATTAGAAGGAGCATTGCCAGCAGCTTGAGGGAAGTGATCCTCCCCCTCTACTCAGCCCTAGTGAGGCCACATTGGGAGTTCTGTGTCCGCTTCTGGACTCCTCAGTAAAAGAGAGATGTGGAGCTCCTGGAGCAAGTCCAGCAAAGGTCTGCAAAGATGATGAGGGGACTTGAGCATCTCTTTTGTGAGGAAAAACTTACGGAAATGGTCGTGTTTAACCTGGAGAAGAGACAGCTGAGAGGAGGTCTTATTAATGTCTATAAGGAAGTGAAAGGAAAGTGCAAAGAAGATGGACCAGGTTCTTCTCAGTTATGCCAAGCAAAAGGACAAGAGGCAACAGGAAGAAAACCTGATGGACAGGAAGTTCCATCTGAATATTAGGAAGAACTGCTTTAGTGTGGAGGTAATTGTGCACTGCAGCAGATGGCCCAGAGAGGTTGTGGACTCTCCCTCACTGGGGATATTCAAGAACTGTCTGGATGCAATCCTGTGCAATGTGCTCTCAGTTGGCCGTGTTTGAGCAGGGAGGTTAGACCAGATGATCCTGCTGCTGAGCCTTTGAACCCTACCTGTACTGTGATCCATGTGTAAGCAATAAAAAGCAACAAGGTTGCTTTCTAAAAAGCAGCAGTGGGGTATTCCTATACTCCCCAGACATCAGAGATTTCCTCTTGCTGTCCATTCATTTCACATTAACACCACCTAAATCTGTTTTTGGGTCTTGCAAATGGTGGATATCAAACATTTTCCCTAGCTGTAAAACAAGAGTTCTGGTGTCATATGGAAGACTAAATTGTTCAGGAAGAAGGGAATAGGTGCTTTCTTGTAGTAAGGAAACCAGCAGCAATTCTATTCAGTTAGTTTTCAGGAATTCTGGTCTTCATTTTTAAAAAAATTGTATGGTTATTTTCTTTATAAAGTTTTGTCAAGACCGTGGGGGCATCAAGAAGCCTTAGCTTCAACTGCTAGGCATATGACTAAAGCACAGAAGTGTGCAGGTTTTAAGAAAAATGTGGAGCGCATTACATATATTCTAATACTTCTTCTGTTTGCTCTGTTTTTCTTGTTTGGAAAGTAAAGAGAGAGGCTACAACAGGGAATTTATGCAGAAGGCAGTTTGTTTGTCTTGACCCATAATTTTCTCTTACTCTTGTTGATTTTGTTAATACTCTGCATTACAAAAATACTGATAAACAGCATTTGTGTACCGCAGGCAGTATATGAGCCTGAAAGAAGTACAATTTCAGTGGAAAGTGCCTAGGGTGGTTATTCCTTTTCATATTATTAGAAAACTGATTGATTCAATTTCAAACATTCACTGCTGCATTAAGTGAAATTTTAAAAAAAGAGAAATATTTACTGTATAGTGTTTCCCAGTCCATTGATACCCACAGATATTGAGGCAGTTGTGGGAGATTTTTATGAGGCTCTCAGAAGTGCACAACATTTCTACATTAAGACAGAAAAAGGCACCAAATCTAGACAAAAGCAACCAACCAAACAAAAAAGACCCCAAAATTATTCCAAATCAGAGATGATAAATTCAAGGTATTACAGCTTTTGT